AAACATGTGGTTGTAGTTAGAAGTATTGCTGCAAGATTGATTGCAATTTCTGCCATATTTTCCCCCAACAACAAAATATCCTGCCTTATTCTGCACAAAGACTGCACGTTCTGAAAGACGATTCTTGCATTAGTTCATATAATGATGTGAAATTTGAACACAATACTAATAAACCATACATTGTTAGAAAAATGACAATATTTTTCCCAATTTTTTCCCAGTTAGTCAGCTCAAATTAGAGGTTATATTGTTTTATCTGAAGTTAATGTGTCAACTTTTTTGTGGGGATGGATTTTTTTTGCCAATATACTTTACATTTGTCTTGCCGTAGTGTATTTTTTTCTTATTTGCGATGTTGATAACAATTTTTCACATTTATGACAAAGCCCAGTTATGAAATTGTTGGGAAATTCCAAAATGAACTTTTAAAAATCATATCCTCACACTACATTTATCAAGATAGATTTTTGTTAGTGTTTTTACCCCAGCGTAGGGAATCAGCTGGAAAGTCTTCCTGAATTGTACCCTTAATGAAACTATGTTAGTTTATCTATATACATATAAATTAAAAATGTTATATTAATAACATAATAACAAAAAGTGCCATCGTTGGTTTCAGAAAATTCCTCACAAGGGACATTCGAGCTGGGACTTTCAATCCAGGGGGACGTAGGAGTCAGTATTCCCAGCGTACATGGACACTGGTGGCAAGGTGGGTTAAAAGTCTTGCCCAAGGACACAACAACAGGCAGACAAGCACTAGGGATGTAACGATATCCAAATCTCACGGTACGATATTTTCACGATATACATCTTACGGTACGGTATTTATATTGATATTTTGTGGAGGCAAACAAAAATATATGCCACTTTTTCCTCTTAAAATGCCTTGACGAGACTTAATCCAAAGAACTAAGACTTAAAAGTGCTTAGAACTGCTATTTCTTCATGTAGTTTGCGCCAAAACGGAGCAAAGGATCATGGTCTATGTAGTTCCCTCTGTTTTTTTAGCTATTGCTGCACTAAAACTCTTAATTTAAGCAAAGAAACTTGTGATTCAATATATTGTGATGGCCCAAGATATTATTGAGAGACTTTTGACAACACGATATCACGATATTTTGGTTACTATTACACCCCTAGTAAGCACTGGTCCGTCCAACCTTCTGATTTGTTTTTCAGATTACCATACATGTTTTTCAGATTACATTATTAGACACGTGTTTTTTCTCGAACAGTGAATAAAAGCGAATAATAGTATGGGATATAAATAATTAAAAGTGTCTTCAGCTAATGCATTTGCTCCGGCTTTTGTTCGCTTTTGTTTACAATGCTCTGAGCAGGCATACCACACCGGTCCATTAGCGTACTGGTAAGAATACAGCATACGGTAACTGGTAATGGAACCAAAAAGCTTCTACGCACAATATCAAACGCATAACTCATTACTCAAGTGTTCCCATGTTAAAGTAAAATTATAATGCTTCCTGTATATCTACATAAACTGTGCAATTAATCATATTTGAATTTCATATTTGGTCCACGGCCAAAACTCTGTCAGTAAAACATGTGGTTTGGAGCAGAGTTCAGACTCAGAGAAAGAATTTTTTCTTTTTCCGTGTTACATAGCAATGATTAAAAGTTTGTAATATGAGGGGAGGAAGTGGTGCTGTATATTTTGGCGTATTTCCCAGACCTATTATCTTCTACAATGCTGTGAAATAATGTAAAATAACAAGAATGCCTGTCACGATAATTACTATATCAGCTCATTGTTCCATTCTTGATAAATGGAACAATATATTTCGGAGCTCAGTATTTATCATGTGTACATTTTCTGTGCATTAGTGTTGCGATTTTTGTTATTTCAGTTGTAATACGACAAGATTTGAGCTGTAGAAAGTTGAATAAGTATCTTCTGTGGCTGATTTATTTGTTGTAGCTCAGACCTTTTAACGATTCTGTATATTAGAGATGATATCCAAATCTCTCGCTACGATATTATCAAGATATGAGTTGCACGGTACGATATTTATTGCGATATAATTGTAGATAGGATGTTTTTTTGCTTTTAAAATACCCTAAAAAGACTTTGGTGTGAATTATTACTGTCATAATCCCAAGAATTCAAGTAAAAAAACATATTTCTTCATGTTGTCAGCGCTGAAATGAATCATGAGATATGTAGTTCCCGATATTTATTAGCTACTGCAGCTGTAAAACAATGAATTTAAGCAAAGGAACTTGTATTTTGATATATTGTGAGACGTTTGATGATACAATATCATGATATTTCTGTTATTGTTACATCCTTACTGTATATTTAAATAATGGTTCAATATAGTAATGGTAATCTTGCTTTATTATTTAGTCAGTGGCATAAAATAGTTTTGAAATTTGTTATCTTGACAAGCCTAATAAGTAGGGGTGTAAAGATATCCAAGTCTCGATACGATATCGTCACGGTATGAACCTCACGGTACGATATTTATTGCGATATCGTGGGAAAGCTCACGATATAGTGGGGAGGCTCACGATTAGGGATGTAACAAGATCCAAATCTCTAGGTACAATATTTTCACGATATATACATCTCACGGAATGATATTTATTGCGATATTTTGTGGAGGCTGTTAACTGTTAATATGAAGACTTAATCCAAAGAACTAAGACTTAAAAGTGCTTAGAACTGTTAATTCTTCTTGTAGTCTGCACTGAAACGGAGCAAAGGATCATGGTTCCCTCAGTCTTTTTTTGTATTCTATTGTTGCACCATAACTCTTAAATTAAGCAAAGAGACTTGTAATTCGATATATTGTGATGGTCCACGATATTATTGTGAGTGATTTGATTGTGATTATTTCGGTGATTGTTACATACCTACTAATAAAAAGTTGTAGAAAACAGAAAATTGGTAACTGAGAGATTTTATGTTCTTCTATGCTTTTTTGCTGTATCAAATTTGGCCCTTAATTTGGTTTTAGCCTGTCGAATTGAACAAAATGTTAATCAATTAATTTCCAACATAAAAGAACAGTTCATTCTGAAAATATTTCAAATTAAAAACTGAGTCTGAATCAAATCTGGATCCCAAGAATCGGAATCACCAAAGAGAGACGCCGCACGAGAACATACAACTTTGTGTTTTTTTGCCAAATTTTAATCGATGAGTAAAACCATCTGGGCAAGCCATGTGGGAGCCATTTTCAAGATGCCTTTGGCCCAAATCACAGAAAAGTGACTTCCCTTGCTTGTAGCGTGGAGTAATTTTAGCTCGTAGCCAGTACCACGAACCCGCCACACACTTCTTTGACATCTGATGGGACAGGGCGTCAGCTTATCAGGCCCGTCCAGACCAGCAGAGCCTGTCATATCCGAGATGGAAACAGTGGAGGCATTACTGTACCAGACCTCGCCCATGGTCCCTCTCTTTCACTTTAAGAAAGACTAGATAGCTCTACTGTATGCCCCTTCTCTGCTTTTTAGCTAAAGGCAGCTCAAAATCTATATGCAACTGGGACAAATTGAACGCATCAGTGAACAATAAGTCATCTATGTCCAATTATGCAGGCTTACAATACAGAAATGCCAATATGTTTAGCATGACATCAACTAGTGTTTCCAATAAAGCAAAGTAAGCTACAAGAATACAAACAAGGGCTCTTATAGCTCTTGGGGCTTGCATCAATGTCCTATACAAAATGCTTGACTAATTGATTTATTGTGCAGTAATAACAGTCCAGCTCCAATGGGAAATTCAAAGAAAGCCCCCCTAGTCTATTTATAAACCTCTTGAACAACATTTTAATTCCCTGATCGTATATAATGTTGTATAAAATGCATAAGAGTGTATTCTGGGTAGACCCAAGGGAGGCAAAAAGTATCCTAGCATCCAAGGCAAACAAAGTGTGTGCACTCACGGTGAAGCCACTTTATTTGGAAGTCAAAGTATGACTAAAGGAGGGGTAGGCAAACGTGTGGAATAAGCCCAAATGCAGTGCAAAAGATTAGTTTAGTAGAAATGAAGTTAGTTTAGTCGTAATAACTCATTTATTGTCGGTTTATGCTGGAGAAAAAACATGCACTAGACTTGACGCAAACACACTGACTACTCCAAACAGTCCATTTCGTCGTGATGTCTTCCAGATTGACTTAAAAACACATTAGACTTGAATACCTACCACTGGTTTGTATCAGTGCAGCAGAGCTCGACTGAAGCGCAGCTCAGGCAGCAGGTATTTTAATTATCTCGCCTATCTGGATCTTACGTCACACAGAGACACACAACAGGCGTTTTCACACAAACGTACCATAACATTAACTTTTACGCGCCCGGACCCGGGTACGACAAGATACACTCGGCTCTGAACAAGTTACACCGCGGTTATTAACAGTTTTCTTACCTGTTTGCGATACGGTGTCCTCAGTGGGTTCCCAGTATTGGCAAAAATCATCCTCAATTGAAATGCGTGAATGTTCAAGCTACAAATCCAGTAACTAAGTGTAGAAAGAGTGAGAATGCGCTTCCTTATTCCGCTAAAGGACCGAAACCGTAGCGTGTGCACATATTAGCGGTACATAGCATTATTGTCGTCGTCTATTCGGCCACAGCCTCCGCGGAGAATTGTCCCAACTTGGACTGCCCAGCCCCGTTTGTTTGACTGGCTTCATTGATTTGCAGTCAGCGCTGCGCAGGGCAGACGCGGCTATACCGGAGCGCACCATTACGCACGCGTTTGTAGGGGTGTCCAAAAGTTCGGCAGCAAGTAATGAGCAGATGTTTAGCAGCGTTTGGCGCAAGTAAGCTCTCAAACACTGCTGAAATTTGTCTCTTTGGTTATTTTCAGTATCTAGCGAGTAAGAGTTTTGTTGGCACGCGAACTCGTATTTCAGAAGTTGTTTCCTCCGCTGTTGTTGTTTGTGTGATAAAGCATGCATACCTGACATTCCACTGTTTGGTTGGTCCTGCCTCTGTCTAGTTTCACTGTATTTTGTGTCTGTAAAACTCCAAGGTACAAGAGTTCACTTCAGACATAGAATGGTTAGTGTTTATTTAACTATTAATTATTGATACAGACCTATATAGCGTTTTGGTATATTAAATAATTGAGGTTCACAGACGGGGCAAAGCGAATTCAGCAAAAATGAAAGCGCAAATACGACAAAAAAGAGGTTCCAATGCAAAATGTAACTCAGTTTGCGCTTAGTCTACGCCTGCATGTACTAAAAATATTGCTTTCCTTCATGTTTTTACGTGTAAATTGGAGATTACATGTTTTCTGCACGTGACTAAATGTCCACATAGCTATAATATGATGTACAAGTTTAATATAATTTTCAGGTAGAACTGTTCAAGGAAGGGGTCTCCAACTTGTACCTCCACCTGTACCTCCAGCACCTTCCTAGTAGCTTGGCAAGGGATTTCTGAATTACACGTATTGTGCCTGATTAATTAAACCTGATTAAATTTATCATTGTACATGTCATTTTGATCCCTAACTTTGTACAATAATAAATGGATAAAGGTTTATGTTTTATAGGCATATAACATTTTCAAAATAAAAAACTGGGACACCCCTTGTAAAAATAAAATGTGAAACGAAAGCGTAATTAATGAAAACCTTTTCTGTACTGGGCCCATTCTTCACTAGTCACATTTTCTTAGTGTTTTGGTTGTTTTTAAGCAGCTTTTCTATATTGTATGCCTCTCTTTACTGTTGACAGGGATCAAATTGGTCAAAAATAGGGACATGTGGGACATTTCTTGTATAAAACTGGGACAAATCAGTTGTTTTGGATACATCTGTTGGGACAGGGGACACAGGGCTCAAAACCGGGATTGTCCTGGATAAATAGGGACGTCTGCTCACCCTAATCTAACTGTACTTCATTTAAGGCTCGCCCTGCCTCTGTTATACTAAATTTCCTGTGACTGCTAAAACTAGTCACTCTCTGGTATTTTTGTTTTGTAAAGGTATCTCACTGGAGGAAAAAGGTTGGAGACTCCTGTTTTAAGGTGACATATCCATAGAAAGACGCAGGTGACAGACCAACTAAGAGTGTACCTTTAAGTTAATATTTGTATCAGTGGTGTATACAATTCCTACAATTCCCCGAATGATATGCAATACATAATAATTTTTAAACATGTCATTCATTCGTCTTCACATTGATTATAGGGTCAATAAATTTTGAGGTTCGATTGGCCAAGCTGCACCCCGAGATGATGACAGCGCTGAATGGACAACTGTTGGCTGGTAAGATTTAATACAGTTAATTTAATTGTATCAAAGTTATCTTTAAAGGTGATTCACAAGCCACTTTTCAAATATTTGGCCTTACAAGTACCACCTATACCAGGTCTGTAACAAGAATATTTCTGGTCTAAATAAGGGCAAAACCATGTGTAATATATAGGATTCTCCAAATATGCAATACTAGTTCAAAACATGGACTACTAACCCCAAATGAGGACAACAACATGAATTAAACTGAACATAGATTCAACAAATATTTGAACTGCAGAGGCCCGTGTGTACCTCCTGTAGCTCTTCACAGTTTAAAGTGCATATAACAGACCACTGGCTTCATTGAGGGCCTGTTTACACGAGAACGCTTGTGGGTAAAAATGACAAAATATTTTATCAGAAGTGCCTTTTGTTTAGATGGTGACAGCGTTTTTGGAGCTTAAAATAGCAAAAATCTGAAACGACCGTCCAGAGAAAAGAGAAAAGTTGAATACCCTCTGCTGTAGCGTTTCTGTCTACGCTGCCCAAGACGCAAAACTCTGGTCAGATCTGCTCATGTCATGTACACGTTTACGTCACACACATCACCACCTGGCATCACCACCTAGCCACCTGGCGTGCATATCCAATCGAATTCCACACACTTTTGCGTCACCGTATGCACGCAGATTTCCTCCCGAAAACGCTTGTCTAAACGTGGAATAAAAAGTGAAGACGTGACGCCACTTTTACGTCTTCTGTTCAGACCATTATCATATAAACATAGCCTAAATCAGAGTTAGTTATATTTAAGCTTTTGCTCAAGAATTTTTTTTCTAGCTTTTATTTCATATTTTCATAAAGTTTAAAATTTTACTTGCTGGTTGAACACGGGCAGCAGATAAGACATACATAAAGCCAATTACGTAACTATAACCTAACAACCATATTTAAACTGTCTTAAATTTACAGTCATAAATTGTCTTTGCATTTTGGATGGAACTTGATGAAAAAATATTGAAATATCGATATATCGTATTGTTTAATGTGATGATACAGTATCGATACCGTGGGCTGCTGTATCGATATATCGCCAAGAGCATTTTTTGGTGTATTTACTTAATTTTTTTTACAGAGCTACAGTTTTGTTGCTTATTCAGAGGAAGGAAACTTGTTTATGTGACATATTTGACATTTTCACAGTGTTGATCATTGAGATGTGTGTGTTTCCTTTTCACTTTGCACAAGAAGTGGTTTAACAAAGACTTTTACTATCAGAGCCATGACTTAGCCTTTATTTTTTATTGAACCACTCACTCTATCGAGATATGTATCATATCAGCCACTTCTTAATGATACCCAGCTCTATTGATGACATACACAGAGGTATTAGAACTCAGCTCTAATTTGGGGTTTTTGCACTTTTCTTTTTTCCACAAACTGTCACGTTTCTGATGTAAAACTATGAGAAATATTTACCACAAGTATTACCTCACCAAACTAAGTCATAATTAGAAGAATATAAAAATCTGTGATATTTAAAGTTCCTATATTACAAAAAAATGGATGCTTGAGCGTTAAGCGATGTCATAATTTTGTGACCTAAAAAAAAACCCTACATACTAGTAATTGTGTAGTCCTGCAATCTGTCTACATCTCAAAATGCTCCTATCCACTTTGTGAGGTCATATGGTAACAGCTTTTACATTTAGTTTAGGAGAGATTGGCAATTCCAGGTTTGAAATCATCTAAATAATTTATTAATGAAGGTGTATGTAATTTAAAAACACAGTGGAAAGCTTCTTACATTACAACATGACATCAGAAAATTTGGAGTTTTTTTCCCATCTGAGAGAAGAACTCAGCCTAAATATGCAGGATTTTTGTATAAATATGTGAATAAAAAAAAAAACCACAACTCCAGGTCTGTTTTTGATGAGAAAACAGCATTATACCATCCCCCAGTAAACAGCATAATGGCCTCTTTAAGAACCACTATAGCTTTCGTTTTTCATCTGCAGCTCTTTAATCCTTCATATCTCGCTGTGTTGTTCTTCAACCTTTTCTATTCTCTCTTTTATATATATATATATATATATATATATATATATATATATATACACTCCGACCTGGAGGAAGACCCGCTGGTTGTGTGAGTGTCTCCGCATCCACTGAGGGAGGAATTTACTGCGGCAGGTAGAGAGACAGAGCGGCCCATAAATCAAACGCAATCTACCCACTGCTGTCAGCCCTGATTGGAAAACCAACACTGTGGCAAGCTAGTGTGGATTAATGGCACAACACGGGCTCCATACCAAAACCTCTGTCGTGTTTGGACTTTATCAACCCTAAATCTTTCTGTCTGTTTTGTTTCTTTGATCTGATCTGTTTTTTCTTTTTTTTTTTTACTCGTTTTTATCAAAGGTGCATTGTGGAGCTTTTCTGGTGGAGGGTCTGTCAAATGCTTTTCTACATGGAGATGTTATTGCTTTGTCTGGAATGTTTCACGGTATGACATTAAACCTTTCTATCTTCATGGAGACTAAACTAGACCAAGTTACAGGTCAGATCTGTGGAGAGGCGACCACGCTCACAGTTAGAACACCTGTTTGTAGGTATTTTTGAGCCATAAAATCATCTGTAATTGAATAAATGTAAGGTAGAGCTGTTTAATGTCATAATGTGGAACATTTCAGGCAGAGCAATGACGTATCCATAGAAACAAGAACGTGACAATCCAACCAAAAAGTTACATAGTGCAGCTTTAAACACATTTTGGTATAAGCCACATATATTTATGAAATAACATTAAGATTTTTTCCCATGTTTTTATGTTTGGATTGGACAAAACGTCAAGTACAGGCAAGATTTAGCAAGATTTTTTGAGAAGCTGAAGTCACAAAAAGCAGTGCTACAGCAAAAATATTCAGTAAAATAAAATCAGAAACGGTGAGTCATGCCTTGTCTCGTTCTCGTAGATTCAGTCTTGTGTCTTTTCCCATGTTTTTACGTTTCTATTTTTGAAAAAAAGTCAAGGACTTGCGAGATTTGGCGACATTTTTTTAGAAGTTGTAGCCACAAAAAGCAGTGGTACAGTCTCATCTTGTCTCATTCTCGTAGATTCAGTCTTGTGTCTCATCTTGTCTTTTAGAAATAGTGTCTCATCTTACCCTTAACCATTATAATATTGCCAATAAACTCACAAAAAATACCCATATAAAAGATAGTCATGCATTGGATTGGAGATCATTTGTACATGAATAAATCCGTCTCTATCCCTTTGATCCGTTTCCAACCTTTGTGCCGCTGTAAAACTTCTTAGATGTCTTTAATTGCTGTGTAATTATTATGCAAGAGATGATTGCGCATATGTAGGTCAGCTTTAGGGCATGTGCAGGGTGCAGATCGGTCAGTGGGTCAGTGTGGGGAAGAGGAGAGGTGGCTGAATCAGCGTTTTCCGTACGAGGGAGGGGGGAGGGAAAGGAGAGAGGGACCACCAGCTATTATCAGACAGAAAAGCAAGGTTATCTCTTATCTGAGCATCTGTGGAGCGGTAAAAAACACGTGTAAAGGTATGTTAAGGATTGGAGTGACGAGATAGGAGAATGAACTATTTGTGTCCTTGTACTGAAGGTTCTATGGGACGCAAAATTGACTCTTGTGAGCTTTAAGCTGTGTTATAATGTTGTTATCTCATCAAAAACAGACCTGGAGTTGTGTTTTGTTTCAGTCACACATGTTTAAGTAATCCTTTATCCAAATCTAAATCCAAAACCAATTTATTTCTATAGCACATTTTACAAACAAAGCAGTTCCAAAGTGCTGCACAGAGATCAAAAAATGAAGACAACAAAAAGGTAAATTGCTAAAATTTCGTCATACAAGTCCTAAAACAATAAAACTAGTAAAATAAAACAAAAGCAAAAAAACATAAAATAAATAAAATATTATCAGTCAGTCTTCATCTCCAAAGCCCAAAATGCTCTCTTCCACCTTGTGATGTCATGTAGTAGTTTTCAAGTTCACGTTTTGAGCATTTGTTTAGAAGAGATGGACAATTCGAGTAGCCAGGCTGGCGCCACCTAGTGCCTCCGCTCAATTTCATTTCTCTCCAGCGACTAGGTCATGAATCAAAATACAATAGAGGGTTCGCAAAAACCCTGGAAGTGCAAGTTCGGGCACCAACCAATCAGCCAAAAGACATATATTCAGTGTTGTCAATGATTCCTGAGCTTAAGGATTTAAAGCCAGAACAAAGAGAATGTTTGGTGAATTTTATCAAGGGGAAAGACGTTATTGCCCTTCTTCCTACAGGATTTGGGAAAAGCTTAATATAGCAGTTAGTCTCGTTAGCGGCGCATTACATACGTCATGACCAAATAGCAGCAATTGGTTAAATGATAAAAAGTACTTGCCTACCGTCGAGCGAACGAAATCTAATGCTGCGAGGTCCGACCGTTTGTACGAAGTGAACTGAAGTAAAACCAATAATTTCAAGGCTGAGATTATCAAAATGAATCTAGGAAAAGTGTGTGGACACAGTGAAGCACTTCCTGTATTACCACATGACATCACAAAGTGGAAGAGAGCATTTTGAGCTTTGGAGATGAAGACAGACTGATAATATTTTATTTTATGATTTTTATGTTTTTTGCTTTTATTCGCTTTTACTGTTTTTTATTGTTTTAAGACTGGTATGACCAAATTTTAGCAATTTACCTTTTTGTTGTCTTCATTTCTGTTTTTTGTTTGAGAGAAGAACTCGGCCTGAACATGTGTGAAAGAAACAAAACACAACTCTAGATCTGTTTTGATGAGGAAATATGGAAATGTAATATGCGCCCTTTAAGGTGGTTACTGTTAATAATAATAATTGATTCTGTGTTATGTGGCCTTACCTTTTTTTTGTATGAAATGACAATGTACAACAACAGTGGATTTTTTGTCAATCCAAGTCTATGCTTTTTTGTTTTGGCTTTTTACATTCAAGTATATAATGAAGTGATGACAGAAAATTCTCTGTCTATTTT